TATTAATATTCCTTCTGTCATATATTTATGTATATATATATTTGTATATATAATACCTTGTATTCAACATGTATTTTTTTTTACTTTCTTGTTTATTTCTAGTCTTTGAATTTGTATTGTATGCCTAGTCTTTTTATGCTGTTGCAACACAACAATTTCCCAAATTGGGATCAATAAAGTACCATCTTATCTTATTTTATCTTAGTCACTATTTGGCAGGAAGTGCAGCTCCGTGCCACAGGTCACCAGCACAACGAGGGAACGAGCAGTGACACATGCGCAATAAGGACGCACAATTGAGCAAGATGTTGATGGTCACAGGTTGATGCAGAATAACACCGAGCCTAATCCTGAGCACCTAGCTGTTCCATCAGAGCCGGATCAGCAGACATGCTGAGCACTCTTGCTTTACCGAAAACAAACTAATACATGCCAGCTTTTTCTGTGAAAGATCAACCAAAGGCATTAGGCTAGCAGCTAACCATCTGTGCAACTACGAAACTCATAGCGAAGGAGCCGCATGAAAGTGTAGTGCAGGGTGATTAAGCCTCTTGACATAATATTCAGTGAAGTCGGGTTTCAGGAGCGCAATCTCACATATAAATGACTGGATACTATAGGGATCACCCAGTACTGTATGTGAGGGTCCAAAGAGCAACTTCACTCATTTAGCATGTCAGCTAGTTAGCTTGCTGGTTAGCTTCTCCTGGAGCACATCATTTGGATTGAATGCTGCTAGCAACTTAGCATGCTAAACAATTTAGCTACAAGAAGCTATCGTTTTTGTGTCCAGAGCCTCACCTTTTCGTCAATGTCCCCTACCACGTAGAATTTGACATCTTTGAAAAGTTCGTCGGAAACCTTATTTTCTTCTTCAAACATGATTGTCCATGAATGTCATAAGAATATTTATAAAAAACCCAGTCAAAAGCTTAAAAGAGAAAAAAGTCTGTTACGGCAGCTGGGTTAGTGTACAGTAAACCGGAGACTCTAGCGCCAAATCGCTGAGCGCGCCTTGGACTACTACATTCTGAAATACGTAGGGTTTTTTTTGATATATTGTCCTTCGTACAAACGTGTATTTGTCCTTTATTGCTCTCCAATCCATTATATCACAGCTTCTAAGTCTGCATAGAAACGATATGATGAAGAACGCTGATAAAACAGATGTACAGGGTCGAATTGTTTATTTAAGAGACATTCAATCACCCTGTCATATGAAAGTTTATGTTTTTATCCAAACATGTAACCTAGATTATTTTAATCAGACAGTGAAGTGAGGACATGTGTTTTTGTATTGTTTACAGACAACGTCTAAAACTTTAAGTCATAGTGAAGCCATCAAAAAAGGCTTTGGGATGTTGCTGTCCATATTGTATAACTCTGTTTTCAAATGTATATTTCTTGATTGAAATCATTTTTTTCTTTCAATGTGCGTTGAATATAAGTTTTTCTAAAAGGAACAGTGTATAGTGCAAATGTAAATGAATACAACTTTTTATTTTTTCTGTAAATGTCTGTTCTATTCTTATAATAACCTTGTATTGACTCTTGTGTAATAACATTTTGAATACTAGTGTTTAAATGAATACAAAGTCAGGGTTAAATGTCCATGGCTCTTACCATAATTTACATCACTCTTGTACTGTAGGCTCTACACCAGGGGTGTCAAACTCAATGTAATTGCGGGCCACATCAACATTAGGGCTGCACTCAAAGGGCCGGTTGTAACTTTAAGACTATATAAAAATACATATATAAATATATATATAAAATAATGTTTTATATTACATTATTGCCTCTGCATTGGATTATTATCAGGTAATCACTTCATAATCAACCACCTTTGAAAGCAGAAGTCTGGGGCAAATAATTGCAAGTCTCTTCAGTGAGAATGTCACAAAAATGATTTAAAAAGAAAAGCCAAATTCTGGAAAAAAAGTCAAAATAAAAAAAAAGGAAGTGACATTTAAAAAAAAGAAGTAACATTTAAAGAAAAAAGAGTCAAATTCGGAGAAAAGGGCACATTCTAAGAAAATAGGCATATTTAGAAGAAAAAAAGTCAAATTCTGAGAAAAAAGTATAATTTGAGATGCATTGTGGGACATGTAGTTTATGGGCAACGTGCTTCTGTAAATCATCATGTCACCGTATAATAAACATATAATATTCTTTGCAAGCTCTTGTGGGGCCACAGAAAATGAAGTCACGGGCCGGATTTGGCCCCCGGCCTTGAGTTTGACACCCCTGCTCTACACAAACAGCCAAACCACATTATTATTGATTTTTAGGTTTTAGCTAAGTAACAGTTTTAAGAGATATGTTTCATGTGAACACAATATATTTTATTCAAATATTGAATTATTAATTATAATTAAAATACAAGTTGTATGTAAATCAAATCAAACAAATGATGAAAAAAGTAATGCTGTACGGTGGCCATCAGAGCAGTAGTGTTTAACCTGGGGTTCAGGGGTGGTACAAAGAGATAAGCTATAATGTGATGTCAATGTATGCATGGAACTTTCTTTGTACATAAAGTAATAGAAAACATGCATACCCATAACTGCTCTGTCTCCTGAACCTTTACAGCTGAGCTAACATTAACTTTGACACATATAAATGTATTGCACACATATCACAAAAAAGAAACATTTACCGTGTGCGCCTCTTGAACCCTGTAGAATTATGCCAATGGCATGCGTTGCCATGGCAATGCCTTATGACCTGACTGTGGTCATGCGACTCACCGACCACCTCCCAAATATGAACCATTCTACATTTCGCTATTCAGATAATACTCTACATTTTAATTAACTAACTAATTACACTCAAATTGACTAAATCATAAATTGATAAGCAAGGCACACAATGAACATCCAAATATAAACATTTCTCAGACCGTTACACTCCCACCAAATTACTATGATTTATGAAACCTTACATGTGAATAAATCTAGTCATTTCAAGAACCAAGGTGGATATATGTGAAGTACCTTAATTCTCCACACTGGTAAGTGTTCAAAATGTCTAAGGTTTCATTAGAACACCTCTCAGTTGTTTTCTAGAAGTAAAACTAATTTATGAATAGGACGTTCGAGAATGGATGGTTTAACTGATATTTTTTCCTTCTTTCCAAGCTTCCTGTTTCCCATTTGAACTGTGACCTTTCGCACTATTCCATCTTCATCTTTACAAACATCTAGCACTCTGCCAAGTCTCCACTCATTTCGAGGAAGCTCTTCCTCTTTAACAATGACAATATCCCCTATTTTTGACATTTCGTCTTGGAGAATGCCAGCACTGTCTAAGGGTGATGTTTGTTAGATACTCCTTCTTCCATCTACTCCAGAATTGCTCTGCTAGATATTGTACTCTCCGCCACCTTTTTCTGGCATACAAATCTTCTGCCACAAACTTTCCTGGTGGAGGCAGCGGAAAGGAGGCTTTCATGGTGAATATATGGTTTGGGGTAAGTGGCTCTAAACCTTTTGGATCTGTAATGTGGTCAGTTGTGAGTGGGCGACTGTTTACGATTGACATGGCTTCATCGGAAAATGTTCTCAAGGAAGCGTCATCTAGTCTTCAAGCACTTTTAGAGAGAACCCAATTCAGGACGCTCTTAACTGTCCTGATCTGCCGCTCCCAAACGCCTCCCATGTGACTGGCCTCTGGCACATTCATAGAAAAGTCACAGTGTTTTTCAGCCAAGAAGGTAGTTAATCTGTCCTTGTCTACTTCTTGCAACGCCTTTGTCAGTTCATTTTTTGCACCAACAAAATGTGTCCCTTGATCGGATTTGATTTGTCTTACAGCTCCACGGATAGCCACGAAACATCTCAAGGCGTTTATGAAAGCATCAGTTGTTAGATCCTCTAACATTTCTACGTGGACTGATCTCGATGAGAAACAGTTGAATATGAGTCCATATCTCTTTTGGTCTTTACGACCTTGCTTTGTGTGAAATGGCCCAAAACAATCCATTCCACAGTATGAGAATGGGGGAGAGGGGTCAACACGGTAAGCAGGTAGATCCGCCATCTTTTGCATTTCTGTTGGCCTGCGAGCTCTTCTGCACACAACATATTGCTTAATGTGGTTTGCCACAACTTTGCTACCACCAACAATCCAATATCCATTTGCTCTCAGTTCGTTGAGTGTCTGTCCTCTTCCTTGGTGTTGTGTTTTCTCATGGTATTAATCTAATATCAAATGTGTGACCACACCGTGTTTTGGTAAGATCATTGGATGTTTCAGGTCAAGAGGTAAGGAGCCCTTCTTTAATCGCCCTCCCGCCCTGAGAACACCATCTTGTAACTCCGGGTCGAGCTGAAACAATGGATGACTGAGTGGCAGTTTACCCTGACTCAGTAGTTGTATTTTGTTGCTGAAAGCATCCCTTTGTGCTAACTTCACTAGCACAAGACTGGCTCTTCTTCTGTCTTCCACGATTATGGGTTCTGCCATTTTGGATCTTTTTGCCAGTCGCTGGATACGAGCAATAGCACTCAATGCTATGCTCCATTTTGAGAATCCTTTCAATCTCTCCAAGAAATTGTCCTCTTTTACTACATTTACTTGTAGTGATTGGGTTGTTTTGACTTCTGGATCAGCCAACAGAAGCTCTGTGTTCCATTTTGGTGTGACAATGTCTCTTTCCCACAAGAACTTTGGTCCAGTCAGCCAATTTGAGCTGACTAATTCTGCTACCTTTAGGCCTCTGGAGGCATGATCCGCTGGATTTTGATCCGTATCAACATAGCACCACTGTGCTGGGTCTGATCTTTCTCTGATTCTTTGGACTCTGTTGCAACAAAAACATGAAACCTTCTAGCTTCATTGTTAATGTAAGCTAAGACGACCTGTGAATCAGTCCAAAAATATTCTTGATCAATCTTGAGCTCTAGCTCCTCTTTTAACATGCTACTGATTGCTGATGAGACCACTGCTGCCGTCAACTCCAGCCTTGGTATGGTTACAACCGTGGTGGGTGCAACTCTCGCTTTACCTATGACCAAGGAGTAATGTATACTTTGTCTTCACTCACCACTCGGATATATGAACATTGACCATATCCATAGCTACTAGCATCGGAAAAGTGGTGTAGTTCAGTTCTCTGAACCTTGCCAAGGTATTCTGGGATGAAGCACCTTGGTATCTGGAGGTTTTGCAGATTATGTAGGTTGTTTAACCAGCTGTGGCTTTAGTTCTTCAGGAAGTGTGTCATCCCATCCTACACCTCTTCGGCACATCTCCTGCAGTATTTTCTTCCCCAGTAGGAGGAAGGGAGCCGCAAAGCCTAGTGGATCGAACACAGAGGCTACTGTTGATAGGATTCCTCGCCGTGTTGCTGGTTTTTCTGCTGGATTTAGTGTAACCTTGAAGGAGAATGTGTCGCTACTCATGCTCCACTTTACTCCCAAAACAGTCTGGACTGGGAGTTTACCATGGCTGAGATCCACATCCTGAACTCCACTGGCTCGCTCGCTGTCAGGTATTGACTCCAAATCTTCTCTGTTGTTAGAGATGAACTTGTGGAGGTGCAGTCTTCCATTTGCAGATATAGTTTGTGCTTCTCTTACCAGCTTGATGGCCGTATCCACAGATTCCACACTGACGAGACCATCATCCACATAGAAATGATTCCTGATGAAGTGAGCTGCTGCAGGATACTGCTTTTCATTTTGGCTTGCAAGATACTTCAATCCAAAGTTTGCGCAGCCCGGGGAAGATGCTGCTCCGAAAAGATGAACTTTCATACGATACTCTTTTGGCTGTGAAGTTGTGTCACCATTTTCCCACCACAGAAATCGTAAGTAGTCTCTGTCTTCTGGGTTCAAACGAAACCTGTGCAACATAGATCTACAACTACATCACAAATGACTGTGATTGGATGTTTGCAAAATGTACAGAGTACGCCTGTCAATCCATTTGTGAGATTAGGGCCAGTTAGTAACTGATCATTTAGTGCTGTTCCATCATATTTGGCTGAGCAGTCAAAAACAACCCTGATCTTTTCGGGTTTTCTTGGGTGATAGACCCCTTGATGTGGGATATACCACACATTTCCTGCTTTGGGTTGGTTCTCAGCTTTCTCTGCGTCTCCATCTTTAAAGATGCCTTCCATGAACTTGATGTAGTCCTCCTTGAATTTTGGATTTTTCTCAAACTTTCTTTTTAGATGGTTCAGTCGTTTGAGAGCCAGTAGCTTTTTCTTCGGTAATTGTGGGCGCACCTTAAAGGGAAGTGGCATTTCCAAGTTTCCCTCTGTATTTGTATGTATTGATTCAGTGAGTATTTGCAGGAACTGTATGTCATCTTGTGATATGCTCACTTCTCTATAATTCGTATCCCTGAAGTCGGATTCCAGGGCTCTAATGACCATGGTTGGTGTCAATGGAGGAAGTTCCTTCACATGTACACGGTGGCACAGACCTGTTACTTCTTTTGACTTTGCTACCTGTGGTGAGCTGCCAACAATACTCCAACCTAGGTCTGTCTTGACAGCATATGGTTTATCGTCACCTCCAGTTATGACCTGCCGAGGTACCAGCATCTGGAGCAGTCATAGCCTATTAAGAGTCCGACCTCACAATCCATCAGCTCAGGTAACTCCTTGGTTATGCTTTTCAGGTGTTTCCACCTTTTGGCAGTTTCAGAGGTAGGTATGTGGGAATGTTCAAGGGGAATGAAATCTCTGGTATAGGCAGGTGGCAAGTTAATGAAGCTTTGTGAGGAAAACCCTTCAATTCTAAGACCGCTTACTCTGTTACTCTGTACAATGGAATCTTTTCCCATAATAGTGGTTAGCTTTAACCTGACCGGCTCTAAATGTGTCCCTGCATTCTCACAAACCTCTTGGTCTACAAATGTGCTGCTACTCTGAGTATACAATAGGGCATAAACCAATGTCTCTTTTTCAGGTGTGTTGGTTGACGATATCCAAACGGGCACGATCATTGATGTGCTCCCACCATTGCTCTTGTCCAAGCAGCAAGAGAGGGAAGACATATTTTCTTCTGCTTGCATAGCTTGGGAAGAATATGTGTCTGCAGCAGCAGAACGGTCTTCCTGAAGTGGTGTTGGATGAGGTCTCTTGCATATGCCACAAGTAGCTTTATTCCTGCCGTCCCTTGAAATGTGTCCTCTCCTAAGACAGCCAAAGCATAGGTTATTGTCATGTATGAACTGTCTCTTGTCTTCCCTAGGCTTATTGGCAAATATTGGATACTTGTAGATGGAGTGACTTTCTCTACAGCAAAGGCATGTGACTGGACTTGATGTCAATGAAGTGTTAACTGTATTTACTATGTTCGAAACGTTTGAGCTGCTCTCTACATCACTGTAATTAGTCTCTGTACTTT